TTGATTAATTTCTAAACTAGAAGGGTAAATATTTTCTTGAAGATAACATTGAAGCGATTTAATTTCACTTTAATTCTAAGTCAACATGTTTATTTTTCCTAAAATAATAACTGTGGTGAAGTGAAATTACTTGGTTTGGCTTTTCTATCCATGTCTTTGTAACTCTCACCTAATGACTAGAGGGGAGTATGCAATAAGGTATAGAAGGCTTCTGGATTGATCCGTTTTGCCATTCAGCTGCATGTAAGAGTGAGCCATCTCAGCAGAGTGAATCCCATGCTTATCAAGGAAGGGGAAACACCACTGGAGAGTATTTGAGGTCCCTGCCTTTAGTGGCAAGGCAGTGGAGGCACCAGAGGCTGCAATACCTTGACCATGAGATGGAGCAGAAGTCTCCTTGCAGAGTGGGTGCCAATGGGCATTTATCAGCCAGAACTGAAGGAGCTTTGTAATACTTGCTGGAGCAGCGCAGGGGCCAAGGGACCAAGTGGCTGAGGTTCCAAGAGACATGCCGGCCTGCAGGCTGAGAAGAGGACCAAAGTACAGTAAGTATCCTTGATGTTTTCTGATCCTGATTTGATGTAATCTGTTAGCTTCCCCTATAAACTCCCATCATTGTGGGTGTAGCATGTGAGTGTCTGGGTGGTCATTACAGTGGATTATAGAATCGAGCAGTAGAGTGCTATGGGAGAGATGGTTGATGTTAGAATAGGGTAAAGGAAGTTAGAGGGTGAAGGCATGTCTAACCTCTGCCTCATAGAAATCATCCTTGGGCAGATGTGGAGCAGGATTCTCCTTCCCCCTGTGTAGCTGGAGGAGGTCAGATATCAGCCCCCACACCATTTCCTCAATAACAAATCAAGAAAGAAAACACAACTTGGAATCCATCACCTTTCTTTTTTCATTTTTAATGATATACTTTAATAGTCATATGAATGCATGTATTATGAAAGAAAGTTAAGACAGAACATAATTTCCTTCTGTATCTAAGTATATGTTCTATGTAACTGTTCATATCTGGAGAAAAGGGGAGGACTGTTCATATTTGGAGAAAAAGACTCCAAATTCTCAAAATAGATTTATCACGATAGCTTCAACAATTGAGCCATTATTATATCATTGTCTTTGATTGCTGAAAATGTGATACTATTTTTAAAGATCTACCCCAAAGACAAAACACTTTGATGAAATGTAGTTTGAAAGTACTTGTTTTCAACTCCCTATGAAATATAAACTCAAACTCACACATAGAAACAAACATGTACTGGAGCCAAATATGTGAAAATGTATATCTATCTGTAAGTATAGATGTAGGATCTATATGTACAAAGAGATAGTAGATAGGCTTTTTTCATAGATATTTCCAAATGTATTTCTACATGAAGTAATGCATCAATGACTTTGGTTACATGAATACTTTTTTATTATTCAGAAAGCTATATTATCTGCCCTTGAAATTTATTTTTAAAATAACCTTTCAATGAAAATCTTGGAATGATGGCACAGCTAATACTGGCTGACACTTAATTCTGGAAACTTGCATAATTTGTCTTCAGGAAGAAACAGATTGTAGGATATCAGAAAATGACCAAATCCTCCTGTCGACCACACAAGTCAATGTGTCTACTTAAAAAGGACATCAGTGAATTAAACTGAGGAAATCCTGAAATGTATAAAATTCATGATTAGAATTTATTATTACTGTTTAAAATATTATTAAAGTATAAATTCTATGCATGATTTTAAAGGAATTATTTATGATTTATATTAGAATATGAAAAACAGAAATAAGATAGCTTGTCTTATTCCAATCCCAACATAGAGGGTAAAATGTAGATGATGGCAAGAATTTATATTCAATAAACTCTTAGGAGTTGCTGTGGTGAAGTGAAATATTATACGTATAGTTGGACTCTTTGTAATCCCCACCAAATGACTGGGTGGGGCCCTGCAAATAGGGTGTGTGAAACACTTATAGAGGGGATTGGTTAATTTTTCCTTTCCCCAGTGTAAGATAGCCATCTCAGAAGAAGGAAGAAAGAAGTCTCAGGACCATCTGCCACAGTGGGCACGGGCACAGGAGTAATTGTGGGGATGGCCCAAGATTGGGTAATGTTTCATTCCGTTGTGCATAAGGTCGCTATGGGTCAGAACTGACTTGATGGCACCTAACAACAACAACCACAACAGCATCGATAAAGAAGAGTCATCAGCAGAGTATGTTCAAAATCTCTGCCTAATGTGGTGGTGGCAGCAGAGGTCATGCTGCCCAGAGATGAGAGGCCAAGGCAAGGAGACTGTGAGGCAGAGAAGAGGGCAGGATTTCTGGCCCACAAGGCAGAGGCCAAAAGACTGCTTACTGAGAGGCTGAAGATTTGAGAAAGAGACTTGGCTGCTGGCTGAGGAGCGGTGCTCTTGACTGACTCTACCTCTAATGCTTTTCTGATCCTGGTTTGTGGTGACCTATTAACTTTCCTAATAAACCTCCCTACTTGTGAGCATTGTCCCCGAGTTCTGTGTGGCCATTGCAACAGATCATCAAACTCAGCAGAGGAGTTGAGTGTCATGGCGGGATGGTTGGTATTAGAATCGGGTAAAGGAGGGTCCAAGGTTTGACCTCTGCCTTGTGACATTCGACTTTGGGCCTTTTCAGAGTTGGAGTCTCCTCTCTACTGAAACCAGAGGAGGTCAGGTGTGGCTTCCACTTCATTTTCTTCAGTTGCATTTTGGACCTTTTAAAAATTATTGTGTTGCTCATTTGTCGCCTTGATGCCAACGCACATGGTAAAATTGGGATTCAGGTCTGTTTTCCATAATCACGTAGCCCTGGTGACAGACACAGTGGTTAAAGTGCTTGACTGCTAACCAGAAGGTAGGTGATTGGTACTCCCCAGCCACTCCACTGGAGAAATATGGGCCAGTCTGCTTCTGTCAAGATGTACAGCCTTGGAAAGCCTATGGGGTAGTTCTACTATGTCCTATAGGGTCACCAGGAGTCCAAACCACTTCAATGCGCCGAGTTTAATTTTGAATGACTCCCTCAATCAGAATAGGGGGAAATTATCACTGCCTTATGTTGCTTAATAGTTTGGAAAAACACATTAGCATTTTTCTGAGTTTTGTGGCTCGTAACAGCTAGGTGTTATTTTGCACTCAGGTAGGAAAAGTGGAGGAAAGGATTGAAAACAAAATTTTGCATCAGGAACAAGTGCAATTAGTTCTGCTATATAATATGCAGGTATATTAAATAGGCAATGTGTTTGGGCCTTGAATAAAGAGAATAATACAAATCCAATCTTCAGTCATTACAGTTTGTTAAGATCCCATCTATAAATTTGGTCCTGGGATTAAAATAAAACTATAAACCTGTTAATAGAATGTACTACAAAATATGACATTTTTCAGTCCAGGGAATTGACACGACATTAAATTCAATGATCTTTGTAACATTTACAAGGTTTTACTTTTGGGTGTAGATTAACTGATTTTTTTAAATTGAGCAATTCCTCTATATAATATGCGGCACTAAGTGCTAATGGGCAATAGCTATTGAGACAAGTTCTAGGTTTGGCCTGCCTTGCTAGTAGCTCCATCAGACTGGGCTCCATGGAGCTGACGAAGAGGCAGTCAAGTCCTGTGACCTAGGCTAAAGGGCCAAGGGCTATCTAAAGTTTTTTTTTTATATTCCCCATGGAGATGGCAGAAATGCCAAAAAGATGAAGCCAAACTTTGATAAACCATTTCAAGCATTTGCTTGCATTACATGAGCTAACATGCCACTGGCCAAAGTAAGACACATAGCTAAGTACAAATGGAAAGAGCAGGGAAATATACTTCCTGAGCCTTGAGGTCCTGGCCATAAAATGGAAGAATAGGTGTGAGTAAGGAGTGAGACCAACAACTGAATCTCCCACACTATCCATTCTTGCTGTGGTTCTTTCCGGTTGTATTACTCTTTCCACCATAGGCACTGATGACCGAGTTTCCCTTCCTTCCTGCTCCCGAAGTTCTTTGTACCTGTGCTGAAATTAAATTGCTTGGTCTGGTTCTTCTACCAATGCCTTTGTAACTCCCATCCGAGCATGCAAATAGGGCGTGTGAAACACAAATAAAGGGGAATGATCAGGTTTGCCATTTCACTGGTCTATAGGTGAGCCATCTCAGAAGCAGAGAGGAATCTCACCACCCTTAAGAAACTGAAGCCATCAAGGATGTGTGCGAAATCCTTGCTAGAAGTGACGGAGGGAGCAGGGGCACGGAGGCCACAGCAGCACCTAAACTAAGACACAGCAGAGGAATGGCCCTGATACTGGGCTGCAGCCCCGACCCCCACCCCGACCCCCGCTCCCCTATGGAAGGAGTACAGCTGAGTGCCTTGAGGCAGGAGGCTGACTTGCAAAGTGGAGTGGCCTTGGGATTTTTATCAGTGTAAAGAAGCCTTGTAACACTGGCCTCAGCAGGGCAGAGGTCAAGGGACTACATGGCTGAGAGGTGGTGGTCCAGAGAGGGGCATGTCTGTCAGCATGGCACCTAAGAGGTGCTGCAGACAAAAGGACAGTATCCTTATCGTTTCGTAAATCTGTTCACTTCCCTAACAAACCACCATGATCTGTCGTCTTATTTGTGAGTGCTGTGTGCCCATTGCAACACATTATTGGACCAAGCAGAGGAGTAGAATGCCTTTGGAGGGATGGTTGGTGTTAGAATGAGGAAGGATGGAGGGTGGAGGCTTGTCTGACCTCTAGCTTGTGACAATGGGCCTTGGGCTGTTTGTGGAGTTGGATTCCCCTATTCCTCCATGTAAACAGAGGATGTCAGACTTGGCCTCCATGTCTTCAGTACCTATTGGTATATTTGTGAGTTCACCATGTTGCATTTTAATGCCTTTTAAGATCATTACCTTGTGAAGGTCATTACATTACCATATTCTCCCTTGGATTGTCAGGGTTTTTCACTGGTTAGAGCTTTGAAAGCATTGTATAAATAAAGAATATTAGAACTTGTTTAATGAGACTTTTATTTTTCATTAAAGCAAATACACATGTACTTATGCATTAGAAAATGCCTCATGAACTTCCCTAATGTGATAGAAATATTTGAAACTTGCTTTATAAGGTATTGCAATTATTCATATTTACAAGTATTTCAAAAACATTATTCTTATCCCTATAACCTTATTAAAAGTTGTTTACCATCTGTTCATCATATCAGAACTAAGTTAACATTTACTTAGTTTACAGTCATTTAAACTTCTCATGGGTACGGAACAAAACATTACAGCATTTTCATTAAAATGATTACTAAGAATTATTTCAGCTACCATAAGAAAGCTACACCTACATCAAAAAAACTTTACTTAAAACAATAGGCTCATGAAAGTATGTCCCATATAAGAAAGAAAAACATATTGTAATAGAAATAGCTAATAGCCCCTTCATTCTTTTCTTTTCTCAAGTCTTTTCCATGAAGATGCACCCCAAAGCACAAACTTCAACTGCAACATCTTTTTGTTGAAAACTTTAAAGACAACTTCTTCTGTCCAACTGAACCATCAGTCCCAGGCTTGTGATTCTTCAAACTGGAAGGTTTTTTATAAGGCAAAAATGACCTTCAGAGGAGCAAGTTAATCACCTAAGACTTTTCAATTCCAGGAAAATCAATGATTGTGAAAATCCTGCCATATACTAGTTTAAATGTTATGTGGTATTATACACATGAAGTGAACAGGTGTTCATATAGTCCCTGTTCTCAATGATTGATATGACAAGGAAAAAGCCACCTAAGGTCTATATTACGCTAAACACATATTGGTATTGAGCTGGGGATTTCCACACCCAATTTCTCTAACTTTCTTATGTATTTGTAGGCTACTATTGATAAAAGGGAAAACACTTGCTGCTATTGAAAAGTCAGGATCTTTCACATAGTGTCACAAGAAAGTTAAAGGATGACACTCAGTTTGGCAAGCGTGGGTGGGCTATTAAATGTGCTTCTCAGCGCTCCCATTAGCATTCATTTTGAGCAACTTTGAATATTGGCTACAATGTAGAAGAATTAGGTCATGTTCCAGCTTTCATTTCTCAAGCGATAGCAGTCAGGCATCTCTGCCTTCTACGGAAAGAAACAGCTGTTTCTAAAGCGCACACACTTTTTAGGCTGATAATTCTCCAAATACAAAAGCTGCTTACTGTTAAAAGCTCCACGTCGCTTTTGCCTTATGAACTGCACGGCCTTCTCGCATTTCATTCCCTTTTCCATCAAGGCTATGGCAACCAGCACCGGGGCTCGCCCGAGACCTGTCCCGCAGTGCACGGCAATACAACTCTCAGGATTTTCATGGAAATTCATTTTGACGAGATGTAACCATTGCTCAACAATCTGGCTGGGTGGTGCTGCACCATCATCAAAGAGCCAATCCAGAACCTGAATGCCTTCTCTCTCCAGCATAGCGGAGTTGTATGTCGCTTCACAAACCCTAACTAGGGTGGTAACTCCATTCTTCTTAAGCTCCTCTATGAACCTGTCAAAGAAGGCATGGCTTGGATTTTGGCCCATAAGAAACCTCATATTTTTGTAGGTGATTTCCACAGGAATAAAATGGTTACTTGCAGCCATATTGAAGTGTATTAATATGGAATTCAGAAAGGATTTAAAGGAACCGACGTTGACTCCTGAAATAGGTCCCTTCAAAGGGAGTCAGAAGAAGCTAAATGAACTTGCAAACCCAAACTGCCAGCGTTTCAATCCAGTAATATAATACAGTCACTTTTACCTGACCCAGCTCAGACCTCTTGTCAATGTTCCCACAGTGTCAGTTCAGGAGTCCAATGACTAGCTAGATTATTCTTTCTGATTCGAACCTTTTGTGTCCTAACGACTTTCTAGTGTTTGTTTGGAATTATTTGTTAGGTTATGCCTGGTAGAAATTCCTACTACCTCTTGCAAGCCTCTGGGTTTCTAACCCCCCCTGGTATTCGTACCCTTTGGCAGTTGTGGCTAAACCAGACAGCTGATTCCACTGAAGTAACAACCCCCTGGCTGGATGTACCACCCAAAGCCTTTCGAAGAACCGGTCGGCAGCACCTGAGCCAGCGTCACACACCCCTCCCTTGTTTTCTCAATGTCCGAGAGCAAAAGAAAGACCTCCCGAGTGGCTGGGGTGGTGGAGTTGAGGGCAGGCACAAAGTAGAGTCTGGAGTCAGAAGGGCTAGCGCTGTTGATTTCTGTGCAAACAGTTCATTAATTGGTCTGCAGCTCTTCCCCACACAATGTGCAATCACATTAGCTGATGATGCCCGTTTCACTTCTTCCTATAAAAAAACAAAACCAAGGATGATATTAGAGGTAATTTTAAATCCACCTTACAAAAGAATCCTCATGGTACAAAACAGTCATGGGTGACGATAGCGATGATTCCTTTAGCTGCCTTTACTAGCTGGGTACTGAGCTCCAGAAGCCACTGCCATCTAGTACCGTTTCCCTGAAAACAAGACAGTGTCTTATATGAATTTTTGCTCCCAAAGATGCTCTAGGTCTTATTTTCAGGGGTTGTCTTATTTTTCCATGAAGAATAATACGGTACATATTTATTGTTTATTGCTTTATTAAAAGAGACCTCGCACTTCCTGTCTGCTCTGGCTGTGCTGCGACCAACAGTGAGCTGCACCGCAGTGCCCGCCGCTACGCTTACGGTCCAGAGTCACGGTAGCTTCAGGGGGCCTTATTTTCGGGGGGATGCCTTATATTTCAGCGAGAGGTAAAATTGTAAGTAGGTTTTATTTTGGGGGGATATCTTACTTTCAGGGAAACGGGAGATTCCAACTCAGACTGACCCTATATAAGGTTTTTGAGCCTGTGAATCTTTTTTTAAATCGTATCATTTTTTAAATTTAAATCACTTTATTGGGGTCTCTTACAGATATTGTAACAATCCATAAATCAATTACATCATGTAAACTTGTACATACGTTGCCATTGTCATTTTCAAAAGATTTATCTTTCTAGCTGAGCCCTTATTATCAGCTGAGGCTGCAACTCTTTATGGGAACATAGAGCCTCAACTCTCTCCCACTCAAAGGCTGGTGGTTTCCAATGCTCCCTTAGCGGTTAGCAGTCCAACCCTTACCCAAGAGTTCCACTTGACTTCCTGCTGGGGGTTGACAACATCCACAGTTGTGTCCTCCATTTGCTACCAAGAATTCAAACTCAAACATACTGTACTCTAGTGGATTCCAACTTATGGTGACTCTATAGGGAAGAGTGTTGTTGTTAGGCGCTATCAAGTCCGTTCCCGCCCCTAGCGACCCTGTGCACAACAAAACCAAACACTGCCAGATCCGGTGCCATCTTCACAATTGTTGTATTTGAGCCCACTGTTGCAGCCACTGTGTCAATCCATCTTGCCCAGGACCTTCCTCTCCTTCCTTGCCTCTCTACACCAAGCATGATGTCCTTCTCTGAGACAGTAAGTCTACAGGAGGAGAAAGCCTCATCTTAAACCAAGCAAGATACCATCAGCCAATCTAAGAGGGCTCTAAACCTCCTCTATCTCAATACCCCTAAAATGCAAAAGCGCTTGATTCCTATCCAACGTAAGACTAAAGTTAGGTTGGGAGTGGAAAGGGGGCTATGGAGAAAGTGTTAACATCAACTCTCTTTCGTGGATTGGGGGTTTATAACAAGAAAAGGCTAATGATCATTGTATCTTCCTAAAAATACAAAAGTCCTGTTGTGGGTTCAGATAAAAGAAGACCACTACAATGTCCAATTAAAATTATTGAAGTCTTATTTTAATATCAGGTTTGCCTGGGCTGCAGCGGAAATATTCAAAGGGAATCTCTCTCGAGACTGCAGCCCCCTTTACCCTGGTCGATTGTCTTTTAGATCACTCAGGGAGGATAGAATACAGAAAGCAGAAGAAAAGGTAAGTTAAAATACATATATCACTAAGTGGTGCTGACAGAAGTACAACAAAAGTCTATTTAGGTAAAGTTTCGGGCCCCTTGGTTTATGATCCCATTCCTGGATTTCGTCTCTAGCTTGCCCTCCTAGTGGGGAAGGGAAACGGACACTCCTGTCCCAGAGAGAAAGACTTACAGCATCTCTTGATAAGGGGAGAGGGGCAGTGTAAACAAGAACTGCTCTGAGGGCACGTACAAACCTGCAGTCCATTGTGATGTTAAAACAGGTTATCTCAGGCCAGGCCAAATCAGAAGGGTGGGGGCGTGGAAATACTCTCAGGGAAAAGTGTTCTCCAGACAGTTCTGCTTAAATGTGGTGATGTGAACTTGTCTATTTTTGTCTCAACTGCTTTTTCCACCTCCTAAGTATAGGGGAAGGAGCCCTGGTGGCTTAGTGGGCTACAGGTTGGGCAGCTAACCTCAAGGTCAGCAGTTCGAAACCACCAGCTCTTCCATGGGAGAAAGATGAGGCTTTCAAGCTCTGTAAAGATTTACCATTTCAGAAAAACAGAGGCAATTCTCCCCTGTCCTTCACAGTCATTAGGAGACAGAATCAACTCAAAAGCAGTGAATGTTGGTTTTGCTTTTGAAAGTACAAGGGAGAAGGAATTAGTAGAAAAAGACTTTTCAGAAAAGGAGTATATAATGCATAAATGTGTAAAATGATCACTCATCATACTTATCTTCTCTGGAGGGATAAGAAAAATAATATACTGCTAAATGATGTATATGGCTATAGTCATCTTCTTTATTCAAAGCACATAGTGAGGGAAATCAAGAGCCTTCCACTCTGTTCCAATTCATAGGAACTCATAGTGAAGAAACAAGGAGTGTATAATTCATAATCACACTTTATCTACTATACTTAGCATGGCTGACTTCTGCTATAAGTTACCATCAAAAAGGCAAATTCCATATTTATATGCATAGATACAACTATATGTCTAGATACACACATTATTTTCATTATGTTATGTGTATCATAAATGAGTTTTGTATTTGCAAACACATACCCTATATACTTCTTTCTCTGAAATAGCATATCCTAATTGGACATAATTAAGAGTGGACTACCAAGGACACATTTGTCATATTTACTTATATTTTTCTTGCAAACCTGTTCCTTTTCTCTTTCCATAAATTTAAAATAAAAATCTGGGGGGGGGTTTCTTTGAAATAATCTCACTTTGTTAATAGATTTTTTTTCCCAAAGGAAGTCCAATGTCAGACATAGCAAACATAGGTTACCAACTCCTGACTGAAGTACCATGAAATGAGATTAAATATATGAATCTTAAAATAATATATTTATAACAGCTCATAAAAAATAAAACAGAACACCATTAATGGTTATGTATAAAGGGAGAGACCATGGGATATTTATACATTAATTCAATACACATTTATTAAGGCTTTCCTATCTGCCAGACTGCCAGACATATAAAGATTGGTAAAATCTAGACCCAGTCCATAAGAAGCTTGTTATTTACAGGAAAGTCACACACATCTAAAACTAATTTAAAACATGAAAGACATTATTTATCTGTAGCGAGAGCAAACTGGGTCCAGTGGAGGGTGTGAATATACTGATTAATTTAACAAGCGGGGTGCTAGAGTAAGGTTTTTCAAAAGAAGTGACAGTTAAGCATGCAAACATTGGTCTTTCTCCATTTCCACCCCCACCATATAAACCTCTATAATGTGTATGTTTTCATGAACGGAAAGGGCCCACAAGGAAAGGGGGTCACAGAGAATCAGTGGAGAAGTGAGGCAAGATTAGTGAAGAATACCATGTAACTTTGATTGAAATATAGCTGGGAAGAAATGGGGAAGGGAAAAAAACAACAAACCAATTATAAACCCAGCCACTGCTCCTTGCTGTTCCAGGACATGAAGAGAGCTGGAAGTCGTCTGAAAGCAGATGTGACCTGCTGCAGGTAAACTTTCATCAGCCTCACCATCAAATATAGAATAAAAGATCAATTGCTTTTCAAATAAACTCTCACACTTATCCCAGGGATTCTAAAATAGGGAAAATGGATTTTTATATGACATGCTACATATGAGAACTGTTGCTAGATATACTAGACTTGACAAAGATAACTATAAACCCAGTAGAAATTGCATTTTGCATTTGAACTTTGTGATATTTTATTTTAGGTGGCTCATGAGGAATAAGAAAAACTATATTGTCTTTCTGAATAAAATGTTGTGAAGGAAAATGTCAGACTGAATTAATTATTTGTTTTTTTTATTCTGTCTCTTCTGCTTTTTGTATGTTTCCAGGAGTCAAGGATCAACTCAAAAACAATAACATCTGTTTTAAGCACCTACCTATCACAGCCCCTGCCCCCATCACACTCTACTCCCAATCCATAAGCAACCACAGCTCTGCTTTATGTGAACATCCCAGATTAGAACATTACAGACATAGGATCATAGAATATCTACTCTTTCTTGTCAGGGTTCTTTAACTCAGAATAACTGTTTTGGAATGTGTCCATGTTACAGCATTTATCAGGCTATCAGTTTACTTTATGGATATATCACAATTGTTCCTTCAATTGTCGATAAACATTTGGAATATTTCCAGGTACCTGTTCTGTTGGGAGCCGGTGGCCTTTAAGGCCTTAGCCTCAGCCACGAGCCGAACTTGGCTGCTTCCTGGTTGTTAAGTGTGTCTTTCATTTGCTAAATCTGTGGGAACTGGCCCTGCCTGAAATCCCTGCCCAACCCTGC